TCAGACAAGTAACTTTGTCTTAGTAAGATCATATTAAAAGATTCATATATATATATCGCAGTACGCACTTTCCATTGCGTGGACCTTTACCTGTGTTCTACATTACAGAGGATATGTTATGTCAGACATTTTATCTTGTCTTGGCCGGTAAAATGGACTTAATACAGCAACCTATCTTCACTTCMATAGGAGCACTTAATTTCTATTAGTCAATAAACACCCTACAATGACCCCTAATGAATTCGGTAATTTTTACCTCTGGGGCAATAGCGGTAGAAAGGTGGTTTCTTTAATGAAATATACTGTTGTTCGCGTCTATGAGTGATCAAATCCGCATCTTTACTCGTAATTAAAGGCAAGTTTTTAATCTCAATGTGTCCTTATTATATTAACACATACCTATCAAACAAAAATACAACACCGACGAAGATTGATAGCAGCCTTTTAACAGGAAGATATCGCTACATCTGAGCATTTCTGATTGCTGATTKGAAGTGATGAATCAAATACCATGGTATTCGCATGATGTCATTACCCACGAACAGCCYTGCCTTTAAAAAATGCAAGGCAATATGTACAACAAAGTTGTGCAGCTTATGGCCAACATTTTTGCGTTACGAGTTGAAAGAGCAAGTTTCTCATATCCCTGTTTTGCGTGTCTCTATTTCGCGCCTAACTTTTTGTTTTCCGAAGAGAAAAAAAGAGGTTTTACACAGAGCAAAAAAAAAAAAAAAATACAGTGATGACGAGTAACATTTGCCCTGCACCATTTTGCGCGAGAAACTTATTATTTTATTATTTTTATTTTATTGATTTCGTCACTAAGGAAAATTCACACATTACGCCTAAACGACTAATTACAAACAGTACAGCAGACAAAAACAAAAAACAAAAAACACTGGATTAAAACAGTCTAATCATTGCAAGGCAAGATGAAAGGTTCCRGGTTCACATACCATCCAAAAGGCGTTAAATGTATCAAAAAGCCATAGATACGCTATCTAATTAAGATAAAAAAAGTACCCATACCGACCAGACAAGATATCTCAACCGTACATCGCACCAGGAAAATGTAATAATAGAGTAACATTTTTAATTAGCTCTTTTAAACGATGACATTCTACAAATAATTGTCCCTATTAAAAAGATCATATCATCACAGTCTTACAGCCTTTGATGGAGCGGTCTTGATTGTCGAACATTAAAGGGTCAGTCCAAGGACTTCAGTCTTGAGTCTGGCTTATTAATCTTCGCTATGACTCATTTAAGTTACATTATCAGAACATTTAATCCGATGAAATATTGCACGAATAGGCTTCATGATTGATTGCAAGTAGGTTTTTAATGGCTAATGGTCATTCTAATACATTTAAGCTGGGATTATCTAGAGTGATTATGAAGGATGTACTTCATGTAACTGAAACACTATTGAACCGAATTACGGAGATCAGGAGCGGGAAAAAAAGAGACGATAGA